TTTCTCCAGCTCCTTTAGGTGTAGGGTTAGGTTGTGTACTTGAGACCTTTCTTGTTTCTTGAGAAAGGCTTGTATTGCTATATACTTTCCTCTTAGGACTGCCTTTGCTGTTTCCCAAAGATTTTGAATAGTGTTTTCATTTTCATTGGTTTCCATGTATTTTTTTAATTCTTCTTTAATTTCCTGGTTGACCCATTCATTCTTCAGTAGGATGCTCTTTAGCCTCTATGTATTTGAGTTCTTTCCGACTTTCGTCTTATGATTGAGTTCTAGTTTCAAAGCATTGTGGTCTGAAAATAGGCAGGGAATGATCCCAATCTTTTGGTACTGGTTGAGACCTGATTTATGACCTAGGATGTGATCTATTCTGGAGAATGTTCCATGGGGACTAGAGAAGAATGTGTATTCCATTGCTTTGGGATGGAATGTTCTGAATATGTCTGTGAAGTCCATTTGGTCCAGTGTGTCATTTAAAGTCTTTATGTCCTTGTTGATCTTTTGCTTAGACGATCTGTCCATTTCAGTGAGGGGGGTGTTAAAGTCCCCCACTATTATTGTATTGTTGTCGATGTGTTTCTTTGCTTTTGTTATTAATTGCCTTATATAATTGGCTGCTCCCATGTTAGGGGCATAAATATTTACAATTGTTAGATCTTCTTGTTGGATAGACCCTTTAAGTAGGATATAGTGTCCTTCCTCATCTCTTATTACAGTCTTTGGTTTAAAATCTAATTTGTCTGATATAAGGATTGCCACCCCAGCTTTCTTTTGGTGTCCATTAGCATGGTAAATGGTTTTCCATCCCCTCACTTTCAATCTGGGGGTGTCTTTGGTTCTAAAATGAGTCTCTTGCAGACAGCATATAGATGGGTCTTGTTTTTTAATCCAGTCTGATAGCCTGTGTCTTTTGATTGGGGCATTTAGCCCATTTACATTCAGGGTAACTATTGAAAGATAGGAATTTAGTGCCATTGTATTGCCTGTAAGGTGACTGTTACTGTATATTGTCGGTGTTCCTTTCTGGTCTATGTTGCTTTTAGGGTCTCTCTTTGCTTAGAGGACCCCTTTCAAGATTTCTTGTAGGGCTGGTTTTGTGTTTGCAAATTCCTTTAGTTTTTGTTGTCCTGGAAGCTTTTTACCTCTCCTTCAATTTTCAATGACAGCCTAGCTGGATATAGTATTCTTGGCTGCATATTTTTCTCATTTAGTGCTCTGAATATATCATGCCAGTCCTTTCTGGCCTGCCAGGTCTCTGTGGATAGGTCTGTTGCCAATCTAATGTTTCTACCATTGTAGGTTACAGACCACTTCTCCCAAGCTGCTTTCAGGATTTTCTCTTTGTCTCTGAGACTCGTAAGTTTTACTATTAGATGTCGGGGTGTTGACCTATTTTTATTGATTTTGAGAGGGGTTCTCTGTGCTTCCTGGATTTTGATGCCTGTTTCCTTCCCCAAATTAGGGAAGTTCGCTGCTATAATTTGCTCCATTATACCTTCTGCCCTTCTCTCTCTTTCTTCTTCTTCTGGGATCCCAATTATTCTAATGTTTCATCTTATGGTATCGCTTATCTCTCGAATTCTGCCCTCGTGATCCAGTAGTTGTTTATCTCTCTTTTTCTCAGCTTCTTTATTTTCCATCATTTGGTCTTCTATATTACTGATTCTCTCTTCTGCCTCATTTATCCTAGTAGTTAGTGCCCCCATTTTTTATTGCACCTCATTAATAGCCTTTTTGATTTCTACTTGGTTAGATTTTAGTTCTTTTACTTCTCCAGAAAGGGTTTCTCTAATAACTTCCATATTTTTTTCAAGCCCAGCTAGTATCTTTAAAGTGATGATTCTGAACTATAGATCTGACATCGTACTAATGTCCGTATTGAGTAGGTCCCTGGCAGTCGGTACTACCTCTTGTTCTTTTTGTTGAGGTGATTTTTTCCGTCTTGTCATTTTGTGCAGAGGAGAATAGATTAATGAGAGAACAAAATGCTAGCAGAGTAACAACGTCCCCAGAAAATATACTCTAAACAAATCAGAAAAGACCTGAAGCAGTGGAAAAAGAAACGGAAAGAGAGGGAAAAAAAAAGAAAAAGATAAAGTTAAAAACAAACAAAAACAAACAAAACAAAACAACAACAACAACAAAAAAAACAGAATGTGATTAAATATGATCAGGGTGGTATATAGATCAGTGCCACACACTAGATTTGGGGTGTATTTTGGTCTTTTAGAAGAAAGTGCCTCCCAAAATTTTAAAGAAAGAAAAACTTATATATGTACAAAAATAAGGGTTGATATGATGAAGGGATGGAATATGACTGTAAAGATGGAAATTATAAAAACATTTATAAAAGGAATTGATAAGAAGTTGTTTGAAAAAAGAAAGAAGAGGATTTAAAAAAAGAGAAAAGAAAAAAAAAGGGAGAGAATGTGATCAGGCAGGGGAGTAGAAAAAACCATATACTAGAGATTTAGGGTATATTTTAATCTGTTAGAAGAAACTATCTCAAAAATTTAAAGAGAGAACAACTTATATATATGCCAAAAATATGGGTAACTACTATGAAGGGATAGAATATGACTCTAAAAATGAAAAATAAAAATGTTTTTTAAAAAAAGGGATTGATAAGATGTTGGCTGAAAAGGGGAAAAAGAAAAATTAAAAAAAAAAAAAGACAGTTAAAAAAAACTCAACTTTGAAAGACTAAAGGATAATGGTAAAAAAGCCATGAATTCTATGTGCAGTATTCCCCTAGCGCTGGAGTTCCGCCGTTCTCATTGATCGGTAAACTTGGTCTTGGCTGGTGTTCTCGCTGATCTTCTGGGGAGGGGCCTGTTGCCGTGGTTTCCAAATGTCTTTGCCGGAGGCGGAATTGCCCCGCCCTTGCCCCCTCCCGGCTAAGTAATCTGCTCGGGTTTGCTCTCCGGGGCTTTTGTTCCCTGCGAGCTTTCTGTACCGCTTTGGAGGCAGAGAGTGAAAATGGCGGCCTCCCAATCTCCGCCCCGGAGGAGCCGAGAACTCGGGGCCCGCTCCTCAGTGAGCCCCCAGAGAAAAGCCGTCAGTCACTCCCGTCTCCCTGGTCTCCGGCCGCACTCCGTGCTCACCCGGCCTGTGACCGCGCGCCTCTATCTCTGGCACCCGACCCCGGGTGGAGTCTCCAAACCCAGCAGATCCCTGTGGTGCACTCCCGCGCGGCTCCTCCCGGAGGAGGAAGGTGAGTCTCCCCGGATCTGCTGCTTATTGGGTCCCTGCTAGAGGAGCAGTGGCCCGACTGTGCCGCGGATCCCGGTTTATGGCCACCCCGAGCTGAGAGCCCGTGCCTGGGCTCCGCCTCTGCAGCCGGCTTCCCTGCTCCGTTACCTGGGAGCTCTGCCACACTCAGGCACCCCTGGTCTTTCTGTGTCCCCAAGGGTCCTGAGACCACACTGTCCTGGAGGGTACCACCCCCCACTTAGCCACCAAAGTGATGTCCCTCAGCGGAGCAGACTTTTTTTTTTTCTTTTTAAGATTTTATTTATTTATTTGAGAGAAAGAGAGAGAGAGAGCATGAGAGGGTCAGAGGGAGAAGCAGACTCCCTGCTGAGCAGGGAGCCCGATGCGGGACTCGATCCCAGGACTCCAGGATCATGACCTGAGCTGAAGGCAGTCGCTTAACCAACTGAGCCACCCGGGCGCCCCGTGGAGCAGACTTTTAAAAGTTCCGATTTAGTGCTCCGTGGTTCTATCACTTGCCAGAAGCGGCCGACGGAGCGCCCCCCCCCCCATCTATCCTCCCGAATATCGCCTCGGATTCACTTCTCCGCACATCCTAACTTCCAGAAAGTGGTTGCTTTTCTGATGAGAGAGTTGTTGCTATTCTTTTCTTCGATCTCCTGTTGAGTTTGTAGGTGTTCAGAATGGTTTGATCCCTATCCAGCTGAATTCCTGAGAGGAGAGGAAATCCAGGTCTCCTACTCCTCCGCCATCTTGCTCCGCCCCCCTTATTTGTGTTTTCTATATTGTTATCTGTGCTTAAATTTTTAAAATATCTTATAAATGTCTGAAAATTATATACATTTTTTGAAAGAAGAATTAAGGAGTTCAAAAGCAATCTAAAATTTTGACCTAATGTTGTCTATGCTGTTTAAATAATCCCTGCTAAGGTGTGGATTTTCTTGGAGCTATGCACCTGCTCCATGGAAGGATATCCACCAATTTTGCTCTCCATCCTCCCATTTCTAGATCATGACAAAGTTGATCTACATTTTCAGATTTCCTCTCCTCATGAACTTAACTCCAGAATAGAATTTAGGGTAAGTTAGGAAAAAACATTCTATTTGCAATACAAAGATAATATCATGAATTAAGGAAAAATGTTTATCCTGCATTTATTTTTTATGTTTACCATATTTACACTGTCGTAGTAATTTGTTTCAGATATGTAGGTTTATGGGCAAGGGTACAGCGCAATGCTAAGGAGACCAAAGGAATAGAAGAAACAGACCCAGCAGCAGCGGCTGGGTCTAAAAAGGGCAGCATCCAAGGATTAGGACCAGTTCAGCTGTAGTGCGGGCAGGTATCAGCCCTAAGGTTAAGGGACAGATGATTATTTGGCAATTGGGATACAGCAGCCCTGTTCAAAGTGTTGGGTGTTGGGTGAGATTAAAGGTCAGGCTGTGGCAACAGTGCAATTGCTGTGCTCATCTGACCACTTATGTCAAGATCCCAGCAGATACACAGAACCAATATTCCGGGAAAGGGATTTGGTAATGACTGGTCAAGATTATAAGACTACATCGTAGGAGTTTAAGAAGGGTTTTTGCATCGGTTCTGACCTGTTTAGTTCCTAATAGAAACTCAACTCACATAATTGGATGGCATTGACTTCAGACGCAATGTGATCAGATACACTCAGAACTCTTTTTCACTGGCCATCTATGTTAGTCATGTTTAGTATAATCATGCTTTGTAGCAAGTAGCCTCAAATCTCAAATGCTACATAACAATTAACATCAAAATTTCAATGGCCCATAACAGCAAACATTTATTTATTTCATGCTCACAGGTCTGCAGATTGGTTATGTGTAAGCTAATAGTGGCTGGGCATGGCTGGGCTCAGGTGGACTCCAGTCTTCAGGTTGGCTACAGATCTGCTCCATGTCTTCATCCTGGGATCAAAGCAGAAGGATGAACAGCTATCTGTTCTTTTCATGGGAGAGAGCAAAAGATCCAAAATTGTTGGTGGAAACTCATAAGGCCTCAGCTTAGGATGGGCACACATGATTTTCATCCATAGTCTACTGGTCAGAGCAAGTCATATGGCCAAGTCCAAGGTCAATGAGCACAGACGTAAATTCCATTTACTCTAGAGGGAGGCACTGCAAAGTCAAATTGCAAAAGATTAGAGGATTAGAGAGAGAGAGAGAGATGGATAGATAGATGATAGATGATAGATTGCTAGATAAATCTCTCTATTAAATAATTTCAAATTAAGCATAAAGAGTTGGAAGAAATAACCCAATCCTCCACACTATCTCTAAACTTTCCTTGCCCCTGCTTGTCTTCTTCCCCTGCCTGTAGCTCTGTTGCCAAAGGCAAGATAACTGTTAGCTGTTCCTGTCTCACTTTCCCAAGCTTGGCAGTCCTAATGGATAGAGAACATCTTTCCAGGTAACTTTAGTTAAGAAAAAAAAAAAGTATAATAAGGGCTCTGTTTGGGCTGGCGTGGGTTCTACCTATTCCTGAACCAACCACTACAGCCAAGGAAGACAGACTCCTCTGACTGGCCAACATAGGCCATACACACACATTTTATTATCTGGGGATTAGGAGGGAGATGGCGTCAGCCTTCATAGCTTCATCAGGATCACATATACTTTAGAGGAGTGCCTAAAAGAACCAATACTGGGAAGACATAGACACTTCAGTCTTTGATCTCAATAGGAAACTAGAAGCCTACACAGGGAAACCAAGTACAAACAGAGCCCTGTGGCATCAATGTGAAAAAACTAGGAAGGGAACAGCAGAGCCCTGGGCTGTAATCAGAGTTACAATAATGGGACTGAGGCTGAAGCTTCTGTGTACTTCCCATCCCTATTGTGGATGGGGAATGGGCCTGGGAGAGACATGAAGCTCCAGGAACATCCAGCTTTAGGAGATAATAGGAGGAAAAACAATACATGTTTAGCTGTATTGGTGAAGTTAAAATGCTGGTTTTTTTTTTTTTTTTTTTTTTTAGATTTTATTTATTTATTTGACAGAGAGAGACACAGCGAGAGAGGGAACACAAGCAGGGGGAGTGGGAGAGGGAGAAGCAGGCTTCCCGCGGAGCAGGGAGCCCGATGCGGGGCTCGATCCCAGGACCCTGAGATCATGACCTGAGCCGAAGGCAGACGCTTAACGACTGAGCCACCCAGGCGCCCCAAAATGCTGGTTTTTTAATTTTTATTTATTTATTTTATTTTATTTTTTATTTTTATTTTTTTTAAAGATTTTATTTATTTATTTGAGAGAGAGAGAATGAGAGACAGAGAGCACGAGAGGGAAGAGGGCAGAGGGAGAAGCAGACCCCCCGCCGAGCAGGGAGCCCGATGTGGGACTCGATCCCGGGACTCCAGGATCATGACCTGAGCCGAAGGCAGTCGCTTAACCAACTGAGCCACCCAGGCGCCCTATTTATTTATTTTAAAGATTTTATTTTTTTATTTATTTGAGAGCAAGAGAGAGAATGAGCAGGGAGAGGGATAGAGGGAGAGGGAAAAGCAGGCTCCCCACTGAGCAGGGAGCCTAACCTGGGGCTCAATCCCAGGACCCTGGGATCATGACCTGAGCCGAAGGCAGACACTTAACTGACTGAGCCACCCCAAAATGCTGGGTGTTTTTAAAGGTGAAAAAGTAAGTACCTCTGAATCTTAGGGGAAAGTTCTACTGCTCCAGCTTCAAGATTAAGACATTGGTACTAGTGAGAACCACAGGGTAAAATGAGCCCTGTAATTACAGGTGTAAATACACTGGCAGACCTTTGACCAGATGTCAGGTGTGTAGACCCGTGACTCACAACATTGTACCGGACAGCGTCTGATAACACCCCACAACTTCATATTGAAAAAATATATATAACTTAGTTGAAGTGAGAAATGTAACAAGTTTCAAATGAGTTGTAAATCATCTCATTTCTTAAATTAACAGAATGAAGTCTAAACCTTTAGTGCTTTGTAAATTGTGTGCTCAGTAACTGTAAGGTGAATGAAGGAACAAACCACTGGGATTTCCTCCGTTAACCAGTTTTATGGCAGACCTGTACCACCAATGTGAAAAAGGTGGAGATAAAAACACAGAAGAGTAAGGGGGAGAGAGTGGCCGCCGGAAGGGCACTGTAGAGAATCGCACGCAGTGGAAACATAAAGGCAGGCAGTTAATATTAAAGTTGAAAGTGAGAGGGCGCCTGGGTGGCTCAGTTGGTTAAGCGACTGCCTTCGGCTCAGGTCGTGATCCTGGAGTCCCTGGATCGAGTCCCACATCGGGCTCCCTGCTCGGCAGGGAGTCTGCTTCTCCCTCTGACCCTCCCCTCTCTCATGCTCTCTCTCTCTCATTCTCTCTCTCAAATAAATAAATAAAATCTTAAAAAAAAAAAAATGAAAGTGAGTGAAGAAAGGGTGACAGCGTGAAGAAGCTTTTGTCTCCAGGCAAGGTCTTCAAAGAAAGCTTTAAAGGGCCCAAGCAGTCCCATGCACCCCCTTCCTGGTTTGGTTTATTCTCCCCCTTTCAGGAGCTGATCCTCCTCTGCCCTCGAATTCTCAGCCCTCAGAAAGGGATGTGATATTAGCACCAGCCTCTCCATGTTTTCCAGAAAGAGAGTCAGATTGGAGTGTGGAAGAAGCCAAGTATCACCTGCCGCCTGAGTGTTTGCAAGTATGTAAGACTGAAAAATGAGCCCTGTTTTTTCTCACACCAGAAGAAATAAGATATACTGAGGGGTTCTCCAGTCTATGAGAGCAAAAGCTTGTGATGTTTCTGACAAGTAATTAGAGATTATTTGAGCATGGTACAAACAAAACTAATGTGTCAAGGTTTCAAATTGCACCCAGTTGCTGTAATCGTCTATTTCTCCCCAATCCTGCTCCCTGTGCCAGAGCTCCTATTTGCCAGACAAATAAACTCCAACTGAAATAAAAGTTCTTTTTAGGTAAGGGTCAAGGCAGATTAGGAATATTTTCGCTGGATTTAGCTAGATTTGCCAGTCAACGATGGATGGTTCAACTTCTCCCTGGTCTGAGTCTCGGTTATGGTGGTTATGTTTTCATGCACGATCGCGTGGTGCTGAGTGGGAGGTGCAGGGTCCAGAGCACAGGCCTGCTCTGGGCACTCTCTTTAGGGTGACATGCCACCAGACACCTTGTTTCTCCTTGGGCTGTTATTTCAAAAGCAGAATAAAGTGGGCTTTAGGGTAAATAAAGATTGGGTCATGGCTACACAAAGTTACAAAACCAGCATTTGGCTAGCATAAGTGAACAGCAGTATCTCTTCCAGATACCAGACTCCCTCTGCCCTAGTTCTTTTCAAAGTCCAGAGACCAGGACTCTCCCTAAAGCCCAGAGCTGGAGATATGCTGGCTCACTCAGATTATGACACTGTCTTTGGAAAGAAATTGAGTTAGGACACTGGTGAAAAAATCAAAAAGCCGTGAAATCTCATCTACCTGAAAGTTAGCAAGGGGTGGCTTTGTGTGGAAGGAGTGGGGCAGGGGTGGGGGTTGCTCTCACAATTGCAACTTTTCTCCTCTCTCGACCATCACAGAAAACAAATGGATTTATTGGATGTTTCCTCCTTCTGTGAAGGAAATCTAAATAAGACTCAACTGCCTTCATCACTTAAGAGCTGTTTGTTTAGTTTGGTTTTGCTGTTGGTGATGGTTATATATACATTGTTATGTTAGCGCACATGTGCCCGTGTTTATGCATAAGGGTCAAAGTTGTATCTCACACCCTCGTCAGAAAATTGATAGGGAAAAAATAAAGGAGGGCTTAGTTAAAGATCATGAGGCAATAATAAGACTGGTTAAGCATTGCACCTTTAAATGACTAGTTAAAGGTTTTAGGCTTACCAGGATTGTCAGTCAGCTGGGTAGGCAACTTTTTTTCTTAATTGTGGTAAAATAGGCACTGACACTAAAATTTATCATTTTAATTATTTTTAAGCATACAGTTCAGTGCAGTCAGTACATTCACATTGCGGTGCCTCCATCACCACCATCCATATCCAGAACTTTTTCATCTCCAGCTGAAACTCTGTCCCCATTAAATGTGAATTCCCCATCCCCCACCCCCAGCCCATCCCTGGCCACCCCCACTCTACTCTGTCTCTCTGAATCCGACTACTCTAGGTCCCTCATAGAAGTGGAGTCACACAGTGTCTGTCCTTTTGTGACTGGTCTATTTCACTTAGCATAATGGCTTCAAGGTTCATCAACGTTTGTCATTAGATCTGTATGGCTTGTTTTCCATTGATTGGACTCTTTGTTTTGTTTTCTTGCTGAGGACTCTGACTTGAAAACAGGATAACCATCTGGAAGTTTGCCTGGCCACAGGGCTTCCTTCTCACCACCCTAAAATATACTTATCTTTGCCATACTGGACATTTTCCAGTGTTTTTTGCCTGCCTTGTCCACCCACTACATAACTGCTGTGTTAATGGCAGCCCCCAGCGTCAGCGTGGCTCCGCGGGGAGGTAGGAGGGTGCGCACCCCTGGCTCTCTCCTCTATCCCCTCAGGCAAAGCCCTCAGAGAACCCAGAGAAGCCCTTCCTTCCCTCGGGAATGCAAGGTGACTCTAGACCTGGAGGGCAGGCCAGGCTTATCTTCCTAAGTACAGCTGGCTCTTAACACATGCTTTTTGTTTGTTTGCTCTTTATAAGTAGTACATTCACATGGTTAAATACATACACAGTCGGAATGTGCTGTGAAAAATAAATCTCCCTCCCACCCCAGAAGGGCTTCCTCGTTCCCCTTGCCTGCGGTCAACCACCGTCATCTTGTCCACCTCGTCTGTCTTTCCAGAGACAATTCCATGTAAACAAGCACACAGGCGCCTCTTTTACACAAAAGATATCACCTTATACCCACTGATCTGTATCCTGCCTCCTGGAAAAACACAGAAAAGAAAGAGTATAATACACAAAGTTTCAGAGCTGATGAGAATGTTTAGACGTAACTTTTTTTCTTACATAAATGAAATAAAATGTTACAGACAAAATTGAAATAGTCTATGACCAAAAAAAAAAAAAAAAAAAAATTCTATGACCTTCACAGCCAATCCTGTTCCCCTTGTCCCTATCCCCGGGGGTAAACACTATCATGAATTTGTTATATCCTTTCAATAAGCTTGTATATTTTCTCTTTTTTTTTAAGATTTTATTTATTTATTTGAGAGAGAGAGAACGAGCAGTGGGAAAGTTCAGAAGGGGAGAGAGAGAGAAGCAGACTCCCCGTCAAGCAGGGAGCCCAACACGGGGCTCGATCCCAGGACCCAGAGACCACGACCTGAGCCGAAGGCAGATGCTGAACCGACAGAACCACCCAGGCGCCCTGAGCTTGTATATTTTTACATGTATACATATATATGTCTATGAACCATTTTGTGTAAGTTTTCAATTTACATAACAGCCATGTGTAATATTCATTCCCACTACAGACAGGCATTTAGGTTCTTTCAGACTTTTCCTCCCCAAATAACAATGCAGGAAGGATTTTGTGCATACATCTTTGTACACACATGTAAGGATATGCTTAAGATAATTCTGTAGAGGTGGGTTCTCTGGAGCAAAGGATATGTGCATTTTTAATTTTGATAGATTGTTCCAAAGAAGTGGTACCAATTTTTACCCCCCCAACAATGCATGGAGTACCTGTTTCTCCACACCCTCTCTCACACAGTAATTTATCAAAATCATTCATCTTTACTCATCTATTAGGCGAAAAATTATCTCTTTTAATTCGAATATACATTTCTTTTGCTGAAAATGAGGCTGATCACTTTTTCATGGTTTGAAAGCCATGCATACTTCTTCTTTTATGATTTTTTTAAGGTCTTTTGCCCACTTTTCTTTTGGGTTAAATGGTCTTATTGACTTCCAAGTGTTCTTTGCATGTACAAATGAAAATTAGCTCTTTCTCATGATGTACACTACCAAGATTTTCCCAGTCTACTGCTAATGTTCTGATTTGCCTTATTATTTTTGTCCCATGGAAATTTTGTATGCGGTCAACTTTATCCATCTTTATGAATGCTTTGAAGCGATGATACATTTATTGCTTTCTCTTCCTTCTCTTTCTCTCTTCCCTTCCTGTTTTCTCCAAATACCAAAATTAATCATACCTCATATTCCTGGGTCTAGGATGAGATCAACAACTGAAGTCACCCAGAGATAATCAGGGTGAACTCTGGAGCTTTGACATAAGCACAGAGGCTCCAGCTGACTTTGACTCAACTCTGCCCTAGTGTGTATTTATAGAGTGTATTTATAGGGTGTCCTAAATCAGTCCGAGGCACTGACACTTTTGGGACTTCTTACAATCTGGGGGTGCCCCACAGCCAAGCTGGTCTTCTTACACTGCCTCTGTCCTAGTCTGACCTCCACCCTTGAGGTGTTGCAGGGAGGCTGGCACGTGGGAACCTAAGATCATGGTGACCTATTGCTTCTTTTTTCTTCTTTCCAGCTCCTTAAAATACTCCTCCTTGGAGCCAGGTTTCTCACTGTCAGAGAAAACAAGAATGAGTTTTATGGTGTCCACTGGAATTGGAATCTGCTTATCAGTGTGAAGTCATGATTTCCAGTCCCTAGAGAAAGCTATAGAGATAAATACAGATGTATAGCTGTGTGCATAATTGTGAATTTGCTTTTGTGTATTCTTCAAAGGTTTCACACACACAGCCTTTTCATCTTCTTCCTTGAATCTTTCTCCCCTTGTTTGTGAAGACAAGGGTGTGGTCGGCTATTTCCTGTGCTCTCCCATATCTCTTCTATCACAAATAGAAACTGCTGCACAAAATGTCATTATTTAAGCACTGGGGGATTTAAAAATAAGACTGAAGGAAAAAAAAAAAACCAAAACAGGGTGGAGGGATGGAGTAACAGAGTGATGGGCATTAAGGAGGGCACCTGATGGAATGAGCACTGGGTGTTGTATGCAACTGATGAATCACTGAACTCTACCTCAGAAATACACTCTATACTAATTCCTTGAATTTAAATAAAATTTAATTTAATTTAAAAATAAATAAATAAGGAGCGCCGGGGTGGCTCAGTCGTTAAGCGTCTGCCTTCCGCTCAGGTCATGATTTCAGGGTCCTGGGATTGAGCCCCGCATTGGGCTCCCTGCTCAGCGGGGGGCTGCTTCTCCCTCTCCCTCTGCTCCTCCCCCCTGCTTAGGCTCGCTCTCTCTCTCTTAAATAAATAAATAAAATCTTAAGTAAATAAATAAACATAATTAAATGTAAAAAAACACAAAAACCTAAAAAGCTCATTAGTTGTTCTGGACTGAGTGGTGCATTCCTTCAGCCTTTTTGCTTTCCACGGCCCTTCTCAGGGGGTTGACCTTCTGCACCTTCTACGGGCCCTTAGCATGGCTGCATCCTCCCTAGAACCATTTACCCCTAAGTTCTTTCCTTCTTTCCTCCCTCCCTCCCACAAATGTTTACAGAGCTTTTAACATGTGTCAGTCGCACGTGCCCGGTACAGGCAATCGGGCAGCGAACGGGTGCTGTATCCGGGGACACAGGTGCCGCCTTCCGCAAGTGTACGACCAAAGAACATAATAATGAATCACTAAATAAACCGGGGCCCTTCCTTCCAGAAGCCCACCCTCACTGGAAAGGTGGCTATTAGCAGGTCCTCACTGTAGCCTCAAGAAAAGCGCTTTTCTCTCTCCCACTGGAGGGAGAGATTAATGCTTGCTTCCAGCAGATTAATAAAAACGGAGATTTTTCGGTTTGGCACGCCGGCTCACTGGCTCCTCTCAGGGGCGGGGGGAAGACCTCCGATCTGCGTCGTATAGATGAGAAGCGGGGCTGACCCAAGGGCACCGAGCAGGGGGCGCCGCGCTCGTGCTGGGGGGATGGGGAGCGCATCAGGGCGGGCCGACTTTAAAGGCCGCCGGGTCCAGCCCCGCGTTCGCCGCCTCACTTCCTTCCCCAGGAATCCAGACTCCTGTCCCGCTTTCCTAGACGAGACAGCAGGCTGGGGGTGCCCCTGCTTCCACAGGGGGTCCTGCTCATATGTACGGCATTCATTGCTTTAGCCCCGCAGTCCTCTTCTGTATTTTGCTCTCTTAACTTCAGCAGGTCCTTCCCGTTCTTTATATTCATCAGTAGGCTCAGAGGCATGCGAACCTACGGGGCCACCGCCGCAGGCCGGGGCGCGGACCAGGCCCAGGAAGACACAGTCCCTACCCTTAGAGAGCTCGTGATTGAAGAGGGGAAACAGATATGCAGACAGCTGCTCTGCGTGTGACGAGGGCATCTCGCGGGTGTAAGAGCAAAACCACATAGGGAACTTCCTCGAACTTTCTCTCCACGGTGAAGGCTGTCGGGGTGGAAGCGTGAAGATAGGAACAAGTTTGGAGGGAGAGGGGGAGAGAAGCGGCAGAAATTCATGACACTCCTAGTCTCTAAGCCGGGGCGGAGCAGGGTCAGCGGGGGAGGACCCCCGTGCGTGCGGGGGGAGGGGAGAGGGGGCGCAGCTGAGGAGCAGGGAGGGGAAGCCGCATGGGTCTGTCTAAGGGCGAAGTGGCCCAGTTTTCTTCAGCAAACTCCACAGCAGGAGAAATGAACAGAGAGAAATTAGACAGCGGTAGGTCAAGGTGGAGGGGGTCATGCTCAGGGAAGCGCTTTGCATATATGAAAGCTACGTGTATACAGATGCCAGAGATTCTCATTACCCTGCGGGGGTCAGGAATCAGATTGCTTGATGGCTCTGAGAAGGCTCTTTCTCCCGGTGGGAGAGAAAGTAAAGTGTATTTCCTCCGTGGCTGGATGCCGCCGGGCTCACCCTTGTAACTCATGCTGCTGAGCGCTGCTCTCAACAAGGCGGCCGGCGCAAGATGGAAGCTGGTGGGATGGGGTGCACATGACTGGCGGTGGGAGGGCCGAGTCCCAAGAGGAGAAAATATGAGAGCAGGGGAGGGCAGACACCCCGGGAAGTGTAGTAATGAGAGCACAGGGCAGGTTTGGAAGCCCTGAGGGCTTGGCAGGGGAGAGGCTGGGGATGGGGTTTGGGAAGGGGATCTAGGCTTTGGAGCTAACAAATAATACAGGGAAGGAGGGAAGGAGTTCCACAGCTGTGGCCAGCTTACTGTCAGAGACTGTCAGGGGGAAGAGGTAGCCCTATGCCCCAATCCCACTGCATTTGCAGGGGAGCCCCCACATGGGCAGAGGGGAAGGTCTGGCTGCAGGGTTTGCTGAGCAGGCTCTGTAACAGTGGAGTGTGCAGGCAGCAATCCTTGCCCCTTCAAGACCACAGCATGGGGACACGGGAGAAGGAAGAGCCTTTACCCCAGAGAGTTTTTCAACTTTTCAACAGAAGATATTGTCGGGGGAAATCCAGAATTCAGTTAAGGCAAGAGGGAGCGAGAACGTAATTTAAGGCTCTGTAAGATTTTCATGGAATCTTCTGGATACTTGCCCTAGAACCAGATTTGACTTTTACATAAAGTGAATGAAGATTAAGCTTCAGGGCCTCTCTTTAGCTTTGTAAGGCTCTATTCATAATTTGGTATTCATAATTTTTTTATCGTCCCCCCCTCCATTGTATAGCCTTTAAGCTCCAGAGAAGCTTCATCTACCTCCACCTAGAACTCTACAAATTGTGGGTTTGGAAGAAGGCTGGTTTCTGTAAATAAGTACTGGGGATGTAACGTACAGTGTGATGACCATGGTTCACACGCTTTATGGTACATTTGAAAGTTGTTAATGATGTAGATTTGGAATGGTGGTGAGGTTTGGTGGAGTGAGGTCCAGAGCCGATGGCCAAGAGAGAATTCTTGAGACGACTTTGGTGCAAAATGGTGGTTTTATTAAAGCCTGGGTGAAGAGGAAAATTACCCAGAGCAGGCCCAGGCGAGCAGGACCCAGAAGATGGAAAGTTACTAGCTCAGTCGGTGGAGAAGTGAAAACTCGCCGTTTCGGCCTCTACAGGCTTCTCACCACCAGCATCTTGTCCGCTCTAACCGCTGCCCTAATCGCCGTCCCGCCTAAAGCACCCCCCACCCCACCCCCAGTGTAAACCTACCTACCAGCAGTCAGCACAGCCCGTGGAACCTGACCACCTGCACTCCCCTATAAAAAGCTCTATAACCCCGCTGCCCGGGGCCCAGAATTTCATGTGCGAGCTCGTCTGGGTCCGCCGGCGTAAGATAAACCTGAGTTCTCCTGCTTCTCCAAGAGCCACTTGGTTTCTCGCCTGTCTGATTATTTTCCGCAACACAGAGACAGGGAACCGTGTGTAGAATGAGCTGCTGCACGGGGGTTGTGAGGAGTGGCCGATTGTATACTTGGGAGTTGGGGTTGGTAAGGAAAAAGGGAGGTGTCCAAAAGCACTTTGATATGCTAAAGAAGACCCTCAGGATACCGGAGGACTTGCTATTATTAAGCTAAGGGTGTCTTTTCCCTCTAGCAAAGCATTAACATTAAGATAGTTCTAAGTTTCCTGGAGGAATGTCACACCTATCCCACCCAGGAGTGTGTGTGTGTGGGGGGGTGTTGGTTGCAGAGTGTCATCTTGTGTTTTGTCCTCAGCTTGCCTTCTGATCCCTCATCAATAAGAGGGTAGATCCTAAAAGTTCTCAGGAAGAAAAAAGCTTTTTTGGGGGGTAGGGGAGTCTATCTGAGATGGTGGGTGTTAACTAAACTTACTATGGCAATTATTATGTAATATATGTAAGCCAGGTCATTATGCTGTACATCCTAAACTTGTACAGTATTTATGTCAATGATATCGCAAAAAAACTGAAATAGAAATAAATAAAACTATGCAATGCAAAAAAAACAAAAAACAAACAAAAAACAAACAAACAAAACCCCAACAACCAGAAAACCAAAAACAACCTCAGTGTTCTGATTTCCAAATAATTTCTCTAGTCCCCTATTGTTAAAAGATAGGCAGGAAAGGGGCGCCTGGTGGGCTCCATTGGTGAGCTTGTGACTCTTGATCTTGGGGTCCTGCGTTCCAGGCCCACACTGGGCATAGAGATGACTTAAAAATAAAATCTTAAAAAAGATAAGCAGGAAAAATGAGAAGTGTGCTACCTGGGAGTTCCTTTCTTCTTAGCATTGTTGCCCTGGATCATACCCGAGGGTGTGTTACTTTGTCCTCAGTGGAAGTAACAATTACCCCATATTCTTCAGCTCCGAGTAAAGGTAAGGTGACATGCTGTTAGGACCTGTGACTGTCACATGCACAGGGTGTGATCGTCTGGGCAAGTTTGGACCCGTCACCTCAGTGTGCTTCTGTGTCCCTAACAAACACTGGGAGTTGAGTTTCTAAGCACACTCTACTCTGTAGGGGTAACACCCTCCCCACCTCCCTCTCCTGAGAACTGTGACTGATAGCCAGCAATTGTTTGCACAGAATGTCCCCAGCTCCTGAATGGGCATTGTTCTCAGAAAGGGAATTTGTAAGTCTATTGTTTAGAACTGGAAGACAGTTCCCCTAGATAAACAAGGCTATGTGTAATCTTTATTATTCAGGGCAGCCCAAAAGAACTCCATGGTGTGTCCCTGAAATCCTAGTCTGGACAGTGGTAACAGAAACCCCACCCTGTGTAAACATGTATCCTTCAGAAAATGCCTTCTGATTTCTAACCCGAGATCCTGGGACTCTTTTTCCCTTTTATAGACTTTTGGGGGGGCTGAGCGGGACTTCCCCAATTCTCAGCCCCTCTGTGTGACTGCCCTGGCGTGGTGTGGAAGCCGGAGAGGAAAGAGAGCTATGAGCAGGGTAGCCACACTCGGAGGGAGGCAGAGTAAATTCCAGAATTCCTTTGAGCCTCTGGCTCTTCATCCACATCTTCTGAGGGCCCAGGGATAAGCCTACTTCCGTTCTGCCTCTAGTCCAGGTTCCTTGGCCCTTTTGAAGTTTCCTAAGGTCTTGGACCCCAGAAACAATGGTAAACAGACTGCAGCTCTAAAAAGTGGCTCCTTTTTAAAGAGGAGTGGAATTTTTCACTGAATTTTTAATTTTCACTTTTTTGAAAATTTTAATTTATAAATTTTCACTTATTTTTCAGTTAAGGACCCTCTCAGGAAAGACCATAGCTGACATAGGAAAGAATGGTGGGTTTTGAGGTATACCAAAGACCAAACTAGATCCAGGTTAAAGTCCTTGCATTTGTAGTTAGCTTCAACTAAGAGATGATTCCTGTACTTTTTTAAAAATCATGTTTTCTTTGCTCTTGCCTTGAAACAGGCTCAACACATCTTTTTTTAAAATTTAATTTAATTTATTTATTTGACAGAGAGAGCAGCAGAGGGAGAGGGAGAAGCAGACTCCCCACTGAGCAGGGAGCCTGATGTGGGGCTTGATCCCAGGACCCTGTGATCATGACCTGAGCCGAAGGCAGACGCTTAACCAACCGAGCCACCCAGGTGTCCCAAGGCTCAACACATCTATACCAATATCTCACTCTTTCAAAGGATTATTAGGGCACCTGGGTAGCTCAGTCGGTTAAGCGTCTGCCTTCGGCTCAGGTCATGATCCCAGGGTCATTGGATCGAGTCCCACATTGGGCTCCCTGTTCAGTGGGGAGCCTGCTTCTCCCTCTCCCTCTGCCCCTCTCCCCTGCTCCTGCGCTCTCTCTCTCAAATAAATAAATAAAATCTTTAAAAAAGGACTATATTTTACAAAAGCCTTTCACATCCATTATTTTATTTGAGGTTAAAGATATTATTATCCCTGTTTTATTGCTAGGGAAACTGCGAGAGATCACTTAGCTTGTTGCTTGGGAAGCCAGGTCTTGGGCACCATATCTGTGTCCTTCATAATGTTTTTTAGAGGTTGGTTAATTCCCCAAGGGAGGCAGGGCTCACAGAGTCCTGTAGCTGAACTGAGTCTCTGGAGTATGTCCGGTTTTCTCCCTGTCCCCAGACTTTACTAAATTTCCCAAAACATCTAAATGCCTCTTCTAAAATTTCTCTAGGGAATGAAATCTATAATTCTCAGTTACCTGTCCTGGTGAACAAAAAGCCTCTGTCTGGTTAGAGAGACATCCTTTATATCCACCTTGATTGTTTTTGTTACCAAAAAACCCCTTTGTTTGGCCGAGAAAAAAAATTTTTTTTTTAAAGATTTTATTTATTTGACAGAGAGAGACACAGCGAGAGAGGGAACACAACCAGGGGGAGTGGGAGAGGGAGAAGCAGGCTTCCCGCTGAGCAGGGAGCCCGATGCGGGGCTCGATCCCAGGACCCTGGGATCATGACCTGAGCCAAAGGCAGACGCTTAACGACTGAGCCACCCAGGCACCCCATAGAGAAAGTATTTTTTACTACTTGTTGGGAAACCACAATAGGGGGCTGAGAAAACATGGGACTGGCCGGAGATGATTGGGTCTGTTCACGACCATTGACAGCACAACTGAAATAATAACTAACACGAGAATGGACTGTGTACATTTTCAACTGTGTACATTTTCCATGTTACTTCCTCATCCTCTGTGGCAGCTAAACCTTACAGAACCCCCGGGGGTGGGCAGAGCTGGCCAGGAGACTGGAAGCAAGCTTCCAGCTGGAAGCCTGATGTATTACTGTTCAAGCTTCCAATACCAATCCACCACAGAGCTGACTAGAATACTGGTCTCTGGCCCTAGGCCTAAAACACCAGGTCTCCGTGCCCATCAAAAAGTCATGCTGACTTTCCAGGTTACCCGGGTTTTTATGGGGGTGAGTTCTTAATTTAGTGCCAAGCCCAAATTCAGAACTGTGGAAGGCAGAAACAGAGATGCTCCCTGGGGACTCTGGTTAGAGAACACGAAGCCCCAGTTGGCTTCTGCCGGCGGGTCCTGGGGCAGAGCCAGCGACTGTGTGGAACGGGGCAACTGCAGGCTT